GTTATAGATATCTGCTGAAACCTTCTCAAAATAATTTTGTCATACACTTTCTATGTTTTTAATATAGTTTCAACAGTTTCAGCTTTCGTCATATCGAATGGATTTCGTCATATCCCTTATTATGATTTTAATATAGTTTTATCTAAGTTTTGACTATTATTAAGGGGTTACGTCCCTCATCTATAAGGGCAGTATAACGAAAATTAGTATATTTATCACTTTATAATCATTTATTTTATTTACGTGATATACTATTAACATTTCATTATGTCTTCTTCTGAAATATTTAACAAAATTTTTAATTTTTTACATAATTCACCTTCAGATCATATTACTGCATTTTCTGTTATTTTTCAACTAATAGAATATGATACATGGTATCTAAAAAAAGAACTGAGAGAAATAATTCATGTGATTAATAAGGTGAAAAATCTTGACCAACAAAATTCTGAAAAGCGTTTGAAAATTATTGATATTCCTTTGAAGATTAGTGATTATTATTATTTTATCAGATTTATATTCCCAAATGATGATTGCACAGTAAGATATCCTATAGTCAAATTAAGTGAGTATCCATAGCCATGTAGGCACAGGTTTAAATCAATTGCATTAATTCTTTAAACACATGGGTAGAACTTGGTTTTGTGATTATTATTTTATCAGATTTATATTTCCAAATGATGATTACTCAGAAAGATATCTTATAGTCAAATTAAGATAGTACCCATAGCCATGTGATACTAGTTTAAATCAATTGCATTAATTCCTTAGACACATGGAAGTAGAACTTGATTCTGATTTACGAAGAAAAATATACCATTCATGTGCATTGTCAGTTGTATGCAGGTCATATATGATTGATAATTTATATAAAATATTCAGATGGGAACGTGCGCATATTTCTATTATCTAAATTTTTAATATAAATACTAATAAAAGGTTTCTGCACTAGTTTGATGATGCATATGAAGGTATAAGCAGTCTTCGAAGTATTCAAGAATCAAAATAAGAACCACTTTCTAGGAATGAAATAAAGACAAACTTGCGCATATTGAAAACTAATCTTAGAAAAAGCAATGCTCCATATGCTTTCCATTTTCGAAAATATATAAAGAAGAAAGGTACTTCTGAATTATCATGAAATATTCTAATCGCTAGTCAAATAATATGTGCAGATTCAGAAATGGTGAGAACTTTAAAAGTTGAAATATATAATATTTTTATGGTGAATAATTAATAAATATATCTTATTTAGTTGTAAAATACTTTTAGCAAACTGATATTATATTAATTAATCTTATAGGAATCTTTAGAGCATATGAAAGTAACTGCTTCAGCCTTCGTAAGGAACATGTGTGAAATCTTTGTTTTAAATTTTGAAGATAACATTACAAATGTTCCAATAAATAGATTTATACATGATAAAAGTTGGAAAGAATCAGACGAAAAACTAGCAAAAGTTATATCAAAGATACTTGATGTCTTGTGAGTATTTCATAACAAAGCTTATAGTATAATGCAATATTGCAATATTTATATTATTATTTTTTTTTAAATAAAATTTCATTTAATAATATTTTTTATAGAAAAGATATTTGGAAAAATCCCGTTTTTGAAATAAAACTTATTAAGTCACAAAGTGAAAGGACATATATAGCTGATATAATAGTTTCATTAATTTGAGCATTATTTAAAGATCTTCCTATTAAAAAATCTGGTTATATTTTTATAGTAAAACGTCAAAGTATGGCTAATAAAGATCAAAGAAAAGTTGGAAAATGACCAGATATTATGTTTATTGCTGATTTTCATAATAGGACATATGAATTAATTTATAGTGAAAGTTTCCGTATCATTTGTAATAGACAAAAAAAGAAAGATGATTTGGTAAAAACTTGGAGAGAGATAAATAATGGAATGTATTAGGCTCATAAAGGATGCAAACTAGAAAATGATAATTTTAGTATTATTGGAATCCAAGTTGCTGGAAATGAGATGCATCTAAATATCCTAATTTGAGATATAGATAAGATACATCATTTCTACAATTTACGAACTGTTAAAATTCCAATTCAACTAAATGATAAAGAAATTATATTTAATTTTGTAGAAACATTATTGATAATGTCATAAAGTTAAAAAAATGTTTAGCTTATATTTATCTAACAGTATTATTAAATAAGTATTTTCAAATAGTATTTACCAAATATTTACCATTCTATAAACACTCATTTACATTTAAACCAAATATTTATCTATTACTATATTATAGTATTAATAAAATACATTTTATAAATGCTTTTTAAGTACCTTTTTAAAGTATGTTTGGAAATTAATTTAACTTAGTATTCATCTATTACTTTAATAATTAATATTAAATAAACAGTTAAATTTATTATTAAAATAGCATTTAATTAACAAGTAGTTAGTTAATAATATTCAATATACTTATTAACAAAGAAAATGCCTGATTTGCTAAACTTTGATATGATATATACTATATTCACGATTAAAGCAATAGAAATTAAAGTATAGTGCTGATATGTTTAAGAATCACGCATTTATAAAAATAATGATGATGTATATCAGCTGGATATGCAAAGTCATACCAATAAACAAGAGCAAGTTTAAGTTTCTATTTTAATTTTGGTAAAATAACTCGAAGAATAAGTAGGACCTAAAAAATATAATAAAAATGTTACTAATATAATATAATAAAATTTACAATTTTAATTGATACATACCTTTGCATAATATAAGCCGTTATCTGTCAAATAATCATCTTATTCTGAATTATCTATTTCAACACAAATATCTGAGAAAGTCACTTTTCCATAATAATTAGAAGATGCATAGATAACCAGTTTATGATTATTATTTAAGTATGCAAATTCAAATACTTCAATCTGGACTGTCTCGTTCTTTATATCTTGTAGTGATCAATTTTCAATATCTTGAAAATAATCATATATGCAATGTTTAAGTTGTTTAAAGTCGCGCATCTATAAAATATTTAAATTTGGTATATTTACTAATTGGCATATAATCTGATCAATTGTATATTGTGTTATTTCCTTAATAATCTTTTTTGATGTGATCCCATAACAAGAACTGTTATTAGACAATGATTAAAACTTAAACACAAAAGACATGAAGATGTTTTGATGAGATACTTTGAAAATTCAAAAAAAAAATATATTAAATACAACTTAAATAATATAATATCAAAAATATAACAGAAAATATAACAATAATTACAATTTTCTGCATTTGTGTGTTTACATGATGTTTGTTTGTCATGCGGTATAGTTGTTTGACATTAGTTTTATGTAACAGTTCATCTGTTTCACTTGTAAATCTATTAACAGCCCTAAACTGACAAATCAATGGTATTAAATGATATCGCCAGCTGTGTAACTTTGGTAAATTTAGGTTGGATAGCGAAAATTCTGATATTAGCTTGATAAATAAGTCACTCTACGTAATAATTGATTCTGTTAGAAAAATGTCAGTTATATTATTTTAATTTTTCATTGAATCATTTAATATTGACGAATTTGCCTCAAATTCATGAAGGTTAAATTTTGTATACTTGAATTGCTAGTTTCATATATACATATCAATCCATAATGAGACAAGGTCACACAAATTCTTGTTAAGCTTTTTGTCAGGTATTAAATCATCCAAGGCAAATAATGTTATTCTCATTAAATCCCAATATTCTGAAGCAGTCAACTGTTTAAGTCTCTCAAACCCATTTTTGAAAATTTTAAGATTTGGATAACAAGGAATTTGAGAAAGATGTTCATCAAGAATCCTTATTGGATCACTACCATATCTCAAATTTAACAATTCAACCATAAATCATAATTGGTACTGAAAAAGTCCAAGATCTGTGTAATGCATATGATCAGATATACACATAGTATAAATATTAAAATATCTATAATAAATGATTTTTTGTTATAATTAACTACAAATGACATTCTGGTGATTGTTCAAACCAATATAATATTACTTACAGCTGATTCTACAAAGCATTTCTTATGTGATGTACTGAGATTTGCTTGCTATCACCCTGACGCAAAAATACTTAGTTGCATTTTTATTATAAATTATCATGTTTTCTTTTTCAAGGTGAACATTATTCATTGTATTACGGTCTACTAAGTAGAAATGACATAGATGTGAGAAGTTTAGTGATCCATATATAGCATATATTGTACATGCTTCAGGCCAATCTGAAATTATAAGTGCCAGATATGGATAGAATAACTTGAGACTACCATTGATATATAGATGAACACTAGTATTACTTAGAATTCTCAATAGTCAAAGCATGGCCACAAGTATACGATGGAAAAGGTCACATGCTACTAATCAAAATTGGACTGATTGTTTTTCTGAAGTACTATGATACTCGAAATTGAAAATATAGCCAAGCAAAACTTTTACATCAATTTTATTGCAATAGGCCAAAGGAATGTTTCTGATTGTTATGAATACTGAGTATCACAATATTTGCCTAAATGATTGCAAAGAATAGCATCTGTATACAGGATTATTGGTATAATATATGTTCTAATTGGAAGATTTTGTTCTACATTTCTCCACCAATCAGAATTATACATATCTGAATACTGACACTGACCAGAAACCTTTAATTGTGAAATTAAAAAAAAAAAGTTAATATTTGTTGTTAAAATAAATTTTTGTTTAATTGTATATACATTATCAATAGGCAGTTTATATTCAAATATAAACTCATTGGAAATACTCTTATTTGTTAAAATTTAACGTATTCTATCAAGTACTATTCTGAACTCGAGAACATATTCTAACCCTTTGTATTCGAAAATGGCCTCTTTCCTTTAACTAAAATTTGAAAGCTTAAGATTTTCAATAAATGCCCGTTCAGTTTGTGATGTCAATAGTAATGAGCAATCATTCTAATTCAAATATCTATTAAAGAATTTTATAAATGTATTTACGAGCAGATCTTATATATGAAATCGTGTTATCATATGCATAAATTTCATGTATTCTTTCAGAAATTCTTGGTATATATCTCTAGCATCAGTCAGCATTCCAGCGAATAAATCATTATATTCAACACATTCGTTAGTATTAACGTCTGTCATATCTGATAGATCAGATGTTATGTTTTTTTTGTCAGATACGTTACTACTCTAAGAGTTACTTGTGTAACTAAAAAATAGATCCTTAACGTCTTGCCTTTCAATAGATTCATTATTATTTTGAGATTACTTAAGTAACTAGGAAATGGTATATCAAAGTCTGATTTTTCGACAGATTCATCTGCATCAAAGGTAACTCTCTTCTGACTATTATATGAGTCTTGTTCAAAGTGTACCCTTTTACAATTCACCTCCGTTCTTTCAGACAAGTTTTTTCTTTTAGATGTGTTTCGATTATTAAGGATTCATGTTGATGTTTTAACCAGATTTTGAGAAATTCTGTGAATCAGCTGATTTAGTAAAGGTATGTCTTCATCACTGTCATTGAAATGTTTTTTCATATGATTACCCAATGCCTGCCAGTCCTCAAAAACCTTATTACAAGAGGGACACTTTGGCATTTCAGTTAAATCTTTCATTACAAGATGATTTTTAAGACTTGCGATTTGTAATACATGAAGATAGATCGTAAAAATAAATGTATAAATTCGTAAATAAAGTAAAAGACAAAAAATTATGATATAATTGAACAATGTTATGGCTTTCTTGTATATATAAACGATTATATCCTGATGTTTAATATTAAATTTAAGTTCGTAATATATGAAATCAGGTGATTTTCAGATTAATTTAATTTGTTGAATTCTGCAATCACGTGAAATTATAATTGAACACTAAAAAAAGCTTAAAATTAAGAATTTAGAACATAAAAATATACATATGAATTCATTAATCTATTTTGAAATTAATTAAATAAACAAAATAAAAAGTTATATCACCTCTTTAACTAATTAAATAATATTATTTAAGTCAAGTTTCTACATTGATTAAAATTACAAAAATTTCACGAAAAAAATTTAAATACATAATTATCATTACACAAACTTTGATTTTTAAGTTAACCACATAAGAAAACAGAATAACTATATATAGAAAATGACGTTTCAACATACATTGTAGTCTCTCTCTAGTTGTTCTTTTAGTTTTAAGAAATGCAACGTTTTATTAGAATGTTTTTTTGAAAGTTCGTGAATGTTAGTATTTAACATGAATATTTTGATATTTTAAAAAATGTTTTCTAATTTTATATGTATAGATATAATTAGATTAACTTTGTATTGTTACTTTCTGTATTTAAATAATAACAAATTAGTTTATTAATTAAACTATAACATCATCCAAAATTAATTATGAGAAAATTTTACAATCGTTATTTATTCTTGATATAATAGTTATATGCAAATTTAATAATGGACTATTAATTAGACTTTTTTCTTTTTTCTTTTGTCCAACCCTTTCTTTTAATTATGAGACGATTAATAAAATAGGTAAGTTTTACAATAATGCAAATTTGTATACTCGTTTAAATTATTACTTATTTTTTTTTCTTCAGAGATACAGATTTTTATTAAATATAGATCATATTAAGAAAAGAACATCATATGTTTTAGCACACAAAAGTGCTCAACATGTTTTGCCTTATATTAATCTCTCAGAGAAACAAACAAACACCCTAAGCATTCAAAGCATTCCAAGCACCCAAGTATCCCAAGCGGTTCTACTATACAGATATGTTTAGACAAATGGATTGGTAAAAATATAATTACAGAGACCAGTTTAGATACACTTGATGATATCGATACTTTACCTGATCAAGAAGGTTATCTTTCAAGTGATGATGAGAATTTTATTGATGATTTTACTTCAGGAAATGAAACAGCCTGTTATAATTCTAAAATACAGACACGAATATACAAAAGAGGATTCATAAGTTTGTTAAATATTTGTTATTTTCTAACGATAATCATATTATATTATTATTTATTCATATTTCTTCTAAGATTTGCTTCAACAATTAAAAATATACAAGATGTATAGCTTCAAATGGTTATAATGATTCAAGATATGCAGAAAAAGATTGATAAAATGTATGCAGATTGGAAAGCCATTAGTTTCAGTGATCATACAAAAGACGATACTAAATGGATTGAGATGAGTGTTGTTAAATATTATTATTTTAATTTACATATTAAAATACTAACTTGTCTATAATATTTTGTGACAGGATGTTATTGGTCAAGCAATTTATGATGTAGCTGAGAAAGTTAAATACCCAAGTAATGAATGCCTTATGCAAGTGTATTATGATGCATTATTAGATGCAAGAAAAGAAGAATTTTAAAGTAAAATAAAACATGACAAATAGAAATGTTTCTTCAATAAACACGTTTGTTCATTGGTAAGTAAATTTTGATGATTATTCGTAATGAGTTATTTAATCTTACTCACTTTTTTGATAGGCCTAGTAATTCTCACACTAAGCACAAATTAACATCATACAATACATTAAAGATGCTATCTATGCAGAATTTTTAGATCTTGTGAAACCTAAAACAGAAAATTGACAAGTAATGAAGAATGGAAGTTCAAAGATGCTAGTATCACACACGAATATTATATGAAATTAAACAAATCTATTGATACTAATGACAACTCACATTACACTTACCTCAACCTAATAATTGACCATGGTTTTATCAACCCAAATACAGAAAAAACTCCATTGCATTTAGAATGGCCGTCATCTTAAACTATCTTAATCTATCAAAAGGAATCAATATAGTTCTAAGTGAAGTTGTGAAATGAATGAATTACTTTCTTAAAAATGCAGGTTTCAGATTGCGAGATATTATGAATGAGGGAATCGTAAATATTTTTACATTTTACTTTTTGTAATATTTATTTTCATATTTATTTGTAAGTATTAATTTTAATATTTGATATTTTTATAATATAATAGAAGAGTTTATATTTAATAAAAATAAATAAGGTTATTTATATTTTTAAAAATTATTTTTTTATTAATTGAATTTGATTTCTTTCTTTAAAGGTACATGAATTAACAATTTCTTTAAATATCTTACAAATCAATAATTAAAACTAAAGATACAATTATAATTAACTTACCTAATCAAGATTCAGTCGTAAAATGCTTTAGTTGCAAAAAAAATCACAATCTTAATTATTGTATAATTTAATCTATGTATAATAAAAGCTTTTAATTAAATATATATTATAAATAATGTTATTAATAATGTATTATAAATATTTTATATAAGCATCAAAATTATACTATATTATAATGCTAAGACAATACATGATGTTGAATAATTGTAACAGAATGCTAATACTTATTGAATATAAGGTCCATTAGAACTTATTGATAAGTATTTGAAACAAATACTTTTAGAATAATTAATAAATACTTGATAAATGCTTAGTTATAGTTCATGATGAATAAGTGTTTATTAACAGTAAATCTTATTCAAATTTTATTTCACTTGTTTAAAATTAACGTATTTTTATAATTACAAAATATATTGCATATCAATCTATCATTATTATATTATGCTCCTCAAATTAGTTCAGATAGTAATACAGAAAATAGTTCTACAGTATCTTCTCCAAGACCATCATTACTATCAAAGATAAAATAAAGAAAGTCTAGAAACTAATATTTACTTTTTTAATACTACTTAATAAACTTGACTCTATATTCAATTTTCAATCTATTTTTGATATATAAAATTTTCTAATGTATGCAAATATTTTATCAAAGTGTAGATTTAAAATATGAGAAAAGAAAATATTCAAG